CTCTCTCTCTCTCTCTCTCTCTCTCTCTCTCTCTCTCTCTCTCTCCCACTTGGCCTCATCATTTGTGAACCCTTAAATCACTAGGGTCTTTTTCATTCTTTTCAGATAAATGTATTACCAGAAATACAGCTTCAGCTTTGCAGAAAAGAAGGCTTGTGTCAACTGAGCAGAAGATTTCCAGGTAACCTTTAATTTTCTCTTGATACATGAGCATTTGACATCTGGAGGCTTCCGTAGTCACAAATAACAAGTCACAAATAACAAGGCCTCAACACATCATCCCGGCTCCCCTTCTATCAACTCCACTGTCCCAAGTCTTCCCTAATGCCCAGGCTTTGCCAATGGGAAGGCCCTGATAATACCTCATACTAGTACGACTGGTACTTTAGTCCTTTGTTTCCCCCCTCTGTCTTGCCCAGTGTCTGTTTGCCTTATGTGTTTCTTTTAAAAATAATTCTGCCTTAGTTTAAAAATGATTGTTGTTGTAGTTCTTAGTTATATATAACTTGAATTTTTAAAGAGGTTTATTATTATGTCATTGTGCTAGTTATTTTTGTTTCGTTTTCTCAACTAGAAACAGGTCAGGGTCATCTGGGAAGAGGAAAGTTGAACTGAGAAAATGTCTACATCAGATTGGCAAAACTGTGGGATGTTTCCCCGTTAGTGTTTGATGGAGCCCAGACCACCATTGGCTAGGGCCAGCACAGGTTGCCTAGGGGGTTCTGGTTGATGTGGCCCAGGCCACTGCAGGCTAGGGCCAACACAAGTTGCCTAGGGGGTGCTGGTTTCTATAAGAAAGCAGACTGAACATGGAGAGCAAGCCAGTAAGCAGCACTCCTCCTCTGTGGCTTCTGCTCCAGGTCCTGCCTTGAGTTCTTGCCCTGAATTCCCTTCATGGTAGATTACAAGTTGTTCCGTGAGACAAACCTCCCCACTCAGTTGCTCTTGGCTATGGTGTTTTATCACAGCCACAGAAAGCAAGCTATAGCAATTCTGTTCTCAAAATTTTGTTTTTCCTCTCTGAAATCATCTGCCTATGTTTAAGGCAAGATACTCAACGAAGTTCTATCTTCATAGTATTAGGAATTTGGGAGAAAAACGATTACCATCAGTTCCTGCACAGTTCCCTGAGTGGAAAAGACGTAAGAAGGGAAGTGAGTCTCTAGAGATGAAATACGTCTTCACTGATAAAATTATAGCCTACCTTAGAACTCGTTGGTGAGAGTACTTCAGACTTCCTGTTTGAACCCCATTAATGCGTGTGATCCTGGGAAGTGTTTTACTACATGAATACATAATAAATACATTTCTGTATTTATTAATTTATGCCTTGTTAGAGCCGGAAAGCATGGCATACTGTAACCCACTGGCTTTCCCGTGGAGTTTTGCCTCCCAGTCAAGTGTCAGCCTTGTAGGCGTGCCCTACTATATTGAGGACAGTCTCCTGTCCACTTACCAGGGATTAAAATGAAAACAAACCAGTAATTCTTCTTTAAATTTAAGATACATTTCTAGAGTAAATATGAGTGAATTTTATTCTGCATGTTATTTCACCACACAATTATGGCCGACTGCATAGTCTCTGGCTTATTTTTTATTTACTTGGTTATTTATTTACTTATTTTTAAGCTGAAGCCTGGTTAACTCAGCCTGCCCTCAGATTCCCTGAGTAGCCAATACTGTCCTTGAGTTTCTGATCCCCATGCCTCTAACTCCCAAGTGCTTCAGGTTTTAGCACATGTGTGCCCTCACTCCTGTCTTGAAGTCCCCATCTCACCCCATCCTATCTCCCCTGCAGGGATAGGAACTGAATCAGAGCCTTGGCATGCCAAGAAAACACTCTATCATTTAGCTGCATCTCCAGCTAGCATGTTATTCTGTAAAAACATATTGTGGGTCTGTGGAGATGACTCAGTGAGTGAACCGTTGTCTCATAAGCGTGCACACCTGAGTTTGATTCCCAACATCTGTGTCTTACAAATTCAGTAAGCTCCAGGATCCATCAGAGACCCTGTCTCAAAAATAAGGTAAAGAGTGATTGAGGAAGACACTTGATGTTGGCCTCTGTCTTCCGTACACAGGTGTGCGTACATGCAAACACCCCTGCACATACATGTATACACTCAAATAAATAAGTAATAAACAAAAAAAGAATGCTCTTCCAGGCTAAGTAAAACAATTATTTCTACCACTAAATGTTCCTTTAGTTCAGATAACCCCACCCCCGAATTGTCTGCATTTTAAGCATGGCTTCCAGGTGTTAAGATGCTGTGGTTGTTTTCCTGCGGTAATTTACATGTAAGCATGGTTGGTTGAGAACAAAAGCCTTTTAGTTTCACGGGAAACAGAAAGACAGCATAGCAGTGAAGGCTGTCTGTAGTATGAAATATTTTTAAATGCACACACACACACACATACACACACACACACACATAAACACACACACACACACACACACTCATCAAGAAAGTCTGATATGTTATATTTTCCTTGCTTCCATAAATTAGGAAACATTTTCTGCCTTCTTTCATTTGAAAATGACTTTACTCTGAAAAAAATGACCACTTCTAGAAATATGTAGCCCTTTTTATTCTCTCCCTCTCCCTCCCTCTCCCTCCCCCTCCCCCCTCCCCCCCTCTCTCTCCAGTGCTCATTTTCTGTTTATCTCTGTGAGTAGCAAGATAGTTTTGTGGAATCCTTTCTCCTACCATGTTATATTTCTTGAGCTGAAGATAATCTTCTTAAGTGTCTAGCTTTAAAACAAGTACCTACAGCATTATTTTCTGATTTCAATTTTATGGACAGTAGCTTTTGTGGTGCTTTTGTCTATGAATACACAAAATACCATAGAAACTTATTCACAGACCGAAACTAATTGGTTTGCTGTGAATGTTGAATATTTAATAGTGAGTGCAGTCTGGGTAATAACGCCCTAGTACTTGGTGTATGGGGTCATTCAAGGGGTGAGATGGGCTGAGGACAGTGGTGTGCGGCTCTACTCCCTCACTCAGGAGATGAGGCACGATGGTAAGTTTGAGGCCAGCTGGGTTGGTTACACACTGTCTCAAAAAGAAAATCATGAAAACAAGATAACGCCCATGAGACACTGACCCACTGCTGAGACCGCTGTGCTGCAGAAGACAGTGTCAAACCTATGGCAAACACAGAGAACTGGTCAGTCTCAGTGGGTCACAAACAAAATTAATACACTTGTACGGGGTAGGGGAGAGAAAGAGATTTGTCTTGTTGGGAAGGAAATGGAGTTGACAGGGTGATAAGGAGGTAGGTGACAGTGGTTGCTGTATATAGCATGCATGTGCAAAGTTGTCTAAAACCAAATTTGAGCATCAGAAAATAGGAAAATAAGATGATGCATGTGAAATATTTAGCAAAAACTTATGCTTGCAATATATAAGTGCTCAATTAGCAGCTATTATTTTTGGAGGAAAAACAAACATAGAAAAACAAAATTAAACATAATGCTATATAATATATTCTGCTTAACTAGCCTGCACTATTTTAGACTGTGTATTATGTAGAGGCTAGGAAAAGTTTGAAACCAGAGGTTTTTAGCTTTGCCACTAGTCAGCAATATGAATTACTTAACTTCATGGAATTATTTTGGTTCTGCTTTTGTTTTCAAATCTTTAAGTGTGGGTAATGGTGCCTATTTCATAATTTAGTTTTTAAAATCAAGTGAATTTATGTGCACACACATACACATATCATTTGATTTAAAAATAAGTCTTGCTGTGTATTGTACCTAATACATATGCTTAATAAATGGTGGCTGGACTACCCTATTTTTGAAAAATTGAGCAGCAGCCTCACATTACTCATTATTTTTCTTTTTATGATTGATTATCACAAGGATTTTATGTTTCTGGGAAAAACTGTGATAGGTGTGAGACTTGCCCTATTTCTCAGGTCACAAGACACATGCCACACTTTCTTGGATATTATTGAATGATACAAGATGTCTAGGTCAGAAAGAAATGAAGCTGGTATCTGCAGCACTAATAGCATGAGGAATGCCCAGCATTTGTATCTATTCTTTAAATCTTAGTTCACCTTCGCATGACTGGGTGACACCTATGAATCTGCATTTCAGAAGAGGAATGTTGGACTTAGAGAGTTTGTATATTTTATAACAGGCAGTGAGCTCGCTTGGTAGAATGCTTGCTTACATGCATGAAGCTTAGGTTCAGTTCCCCAGCACTGCGTGAACACAGGCATGTCGGTGCTTGCCTGTAATCCTAGAGGTGGAGGCAGGAAGATAAGGAAGTTGCAGGTCATTGTTGACCACTTAAGGAGCTAAGGACAGTCTGGGCTACCGTAGACACAGGACAAAACTTTCCCTCTTTCCTGGAGTGTCATTTCTGTCTTTCAAGACTATCCATTATATAAATACCTTTGAAAATATAGTTTAGAAGAAAAATTGTTAATATGCCTGTAAAATGTGCCAAAATATGAAAGATGCATGGGCAGGTGTCTCCATCAGTTTTGGAGAACCATGACAAGGTCTCATTCTGAAGCATAATCAGTATTCAATATTACAGGCTAACTACTGTAATATAGCTTTGCGTCTGTTTATTAGTCTATAAAATTACTGAACTTGGAAGTTTTCAGTAATGTTGTAAGATCCCATGATGCCATAGAGACTTGATGTCTAGTGCTTTGTCTTCAAAAATACATAGATATCAAGATGCTGCGAAGAATGATGGGCATATGGGTAAATGTATTTGGGACAAGTGAAAGAAGGCAGAGTTCTGGCCAGAAGCAGAAGTCTGGTCAGAGACAATATGTAGAGCTCACAGGGTGTGTTCCTTCCCCAGCCGGTATCTACCTGACCTTAGACTTGTGACTCATACGGGAGAGCACACACCCATGGAAAATTTTCTAGCTAGGGAAAAGATTTATTTTTGTCTTGCCATTTAATACTTTGCCTTTTGTCGGGGGAAAAGTTTTTATAATATTTAGTTGTGCAACTTGTTGTTTGTGCCTTTTATGAGGTTTGCTTTTTTTTTTTTTTTTGATAAAAGGAATTGCTTTCCCATATTTGAACTACAAAAACATTCACATAAGAGGACTGTTCTGCAGGGTTCTGTGAGTTGTTTTTATTCTTTTCAGTGCAGCATCACCATCCAAGGGGCCCTGGTTTGGAGTGTGCCAAGGTTTTTG